ATTATTCTACTTTAAGGTTGTTGGTGTTAGTTTCAAAATACATCTAATCGATTTCTTCAGTATAATTTCTTCACAATTGCTGTTAGAGAAGTAATCACAATAAATTAAGAGTAACTAAAAACAAATCAAACACACGTAAATTTAGAGAAGTGAATAAAATATTAATTCAAAATTAGAACACAACAACTTTGCAAGTGAATATACAATTGTTGGGCATCACTCGCACATAGTGTGTACTCTGCTAATATATATATATATATATATATATATATATATATATATATATATATATATATATATATATATATATATATATATACTACTTCGTATGAATACATATAATCAATGCAAAAATATTAATAACATAATATTCATGTAAATATTTTGCATATTTTAATTTAAACATTCTTACTTTACCAGGTCAAAATAGCTTAATTTACAATTAAAATTCTCCATTGATTTATTTATATTGATATTAAATTTGAAGTGACTTGTATAAATGTATTTTGTTTCCTATGAAATATGTAATATGAAAATGAGTTAAAAGGGGCAAACTATACATCATAATTTTAATTATTTTCACAAATTAACTTTAATGTTTTTCGAATTCGAACATTCGAATGCGATTCGAAAAAGATTCGAATATATCAAATGAATCGAATACGAATACAAAATAAGATTCGAATTTTAGAAGAATACGAATATGAATATTCGATAATTATACGAATACGAATAATATTATCAAGTATTCGGTTCGATTCGATTCGTTTACAACCCTACTCTCAAGCCACATAAAGCCCTCGAGGTCAGGGCCAGAAGAATTATAGACCCCTATGAGTTGACGCATAAACGTTCATTTCCAAGTAAAGGAAAAGAAATACTTCGTAAAAGGGAGAGAATTTACAAAAAGGATAAAGATAAAATAAAATAATACTCCCTATATCCTTCAAAATTTTGTCAAGTTTGTTAGGCACAATAATAAATAAAGTAAATAATGTGTAATTGTGATTTAATTTGTGCAGTGGAGAGAGAAATGATAGGAACTTCAAATTGATTGATTAAAAGAGAAAGTGACAAAATTTTTGGTGCAACCAATTCGAAAAAGAAAAGAAAATATAGTTTTAAGGAACAGATGAAGTATTATTAAGGTAAAAGATAATTCTCAATAGAAGTAAGACATGTTTTTTATCATGTAAGACATGTTAAAAATACAAAAATAGGACTCAATGTATAAAATTCCCTAAATGGGAATAATTTCTTGAGATAAGATAATAATACCCCTGCATGGGTTTGGGCTAGGCATTAGAAGTTTTTTTCTAAAATAATGCTAAATTGAAAATTAATTACGAATTTAGGTTTGGGCGGCTAACAATATTTCCCAAATTACTGCTCAAGTTAACCCTGGTTAACTTGCCCCCACTTCACTTGCGATAACTGCAATGAGGAACAAAGACATGGGAAGGTAGCCAATCAGACTACACTTCGTATCTTCAAATTGAATTTGTGTAGTCTAGAACCACTTTTTACTTGTAGTAGTCGTATCTTCAAATTATTGTTATATTTTTTTATGCAATATTAGTATCATAATAAAAAATTATAAATTTTGATATTTGTTTTTTGTATCAATCGGACTACAAATAAAAAAGTTACAAACAATTGAAAATAGATATTCTATAAAGTGTCAAAGTATTTTATTATTTATATAAATGCATATTGATGTCGTATGAAAGATAATAAAAAATTGTGAATTTTGCTATATTTTTTATAAAAATCGAATATTAAATATAAAATTTATAACCATTTAAAAAAATAGAGAGATTATTTTTAATTTGGGTCCACAATGTCATTTGATTTGCTGTTTTCCTAGAACCTCTCATTCTCTTCGGTGGGCAATTCCGTTTAATAAAAGAGTCACAACCGGCGGTTTACGTTAATTAGGGCTAACGGGCAGTACTTTGGGATATATTATTAACTCAACCTTAATTTGGTAGATAGTTTTTCATTTAACATTATTTTTGTAAAAAAACTCGACATTAGACTGCGACTATTGCGGAAGCGCCGCCGCCGAACTTCCTTGGTTATGTTGGGGGACTAGTGGAGCCAATTATTATTATTATTATCATTATTATTATTATTTAGAGTACAAAATTTTATTAAAAAAGCAAAGGAGAGTACAAAAAAGGTCAAAAACAAAGGAAAAGAGAGCAACAAGAGAGAAATACTATAATCTACAAAAAAATTTAAAACCCAACCCTAAATATTTGAGGTCCCTCCCAATATATTTCTAGTGCTCATTGGAGTCTTCAAAATAAGTGTAGTATTAATTATAATAAGAGTAGAATTAGTTAATATATTAAGGGTGGAAAGGCAATGCTCAATCCTATTTAGGGAATATAAAACACGGACATTTGTTTAGGGAATAGGACAATGTTTTACTCCTATTTAAGCTAATTCCTTTTAAAGTAAAGGTGATGTTGAAGTATTGTGGAGAAAACAGGCTTGAATTCTTGCATCCTCCCACATAATGAAACCCTCTAGAAAATAGGACAAAACCTTTTTTGTAGACCAAAAACTTAAGGAGGTGTTTACTTTGCTGCTAAAATCTAAGTTAGGTTAGTAAGACAGACGAAGTAAACACGCAAACTACTTAAAAACTGCTTACTAACCGAAAAAGGTGCTTAAATTTCCGCTTACTAAGCATATCATCCTCATGAATTAATTAACCGACACTTTAAGCATATCACCCTATTGTTATCCCTCTACCTACTACCCCTCTACCCGCCTACCCATGCCTACCCCCACCCCTGCCCCGACCATACCACCTACCCCCACCCCCATACCTTGACCTTGACCCTGCCCCTTTACCCCCTACCACCTTTCCCCTACCTCGACCCCACCCACCATATCCCTTACCATACCCCACCCCCATCCGTTACCATTCCCTGCCCCTTTACCTCATACCACCATGCCCCTACCTTGACCCCACCCCGACCCACTCCTACCCCCCGACCATGCCTCTTACCCCATCTCCCACCCCCACTTGTACCCCTTACCCCTTTACCCCATACTACCTGCCCCTACCTCGACCCCACCCGACCCACCCTTACGAGTAGGGTAGGGGAGAGGGTATTGGGTATGGGGTATGAGGGTTGTAGGACTATTTTGCTCTATTTTATACTTGTTGCCTCATATGACTAAAACAACAGACTACCGTATTTATCAAAATAGACATTCAAAAAAATTGAAAAAGAAACACAGATGAGAAGAACGCTGGTCAGGGGAAATCACAAGAAATTATTTAACTTTTCTGTGGCGGGACTATAACCCCTTGAACGAGTCTCAATTTTGCGAGGGATGGGAGGAGGTGGGGCTAAAGAGGTGGAGGCTATGGTAGTGGACTTCATGAAGGAGGCAGAGGTTATGAAGGTGGTCACCGCGAAGGTGGTTGCAGAGGTTGGAGCGGCAATGGCGGTGGCGGAATGGAGGGAGACGTGAAATTACCGTAGACTACTTTGTTATTGCTCCACCATCTCTGAAACTACAGAGTGCTCTGAAATTATAGTCAAATCTCAAAAATACGAAGTGTATATTACACACACACACACCAATACGTAAAGCATTTTTTTATTCTTACGCATCGAAACAAATGAGCTAGACATAATGTTTCTTCCTTCTAATAAAGCATTGGTTATACTATTTCCGAGGTTTTCTTATAGAAGTGCTAGAAAAATTAGCAATATCCATAGTTTTGAAATGGTGAAAGTGTGTATAGGAGAGCCTTCAAACTTCAAAGACGGCAAAATAAGATGATGGTGGGATAGGGAATTGGGAAAGACGCCAATAAGATGATTGGGGAATCAATTGGGGTATAAAAGGTATTTTATTTATATTGTATTAATTAATTTTAATTATGGGCTGTGTTTAGAGTTGCCCAAAATAAAATACCAAAGCAACATATAACAGATCATGGCGGTATTGAGGAAAAGCACAAACTCTGGGGCTTATATTGTGTGCAGTTGTGCACTAGTTAACTAAGAGTTAACTAAGACTACTCCCTCTAAAGAGTCTAAACGCATTGTTCGCGTCTAATATTTAACTAAGAGTTATGGAAATAAACCTAGTCTTACATGTCTGCATCCAATATTTGGACTAGGCCTGGACTCGGGCCGGGTAGCCCGACCCAGAACCGGCCCAAACCGGCCAGGCCCGGTCAGTGACCGGTCCGGGTAGGCCCGACCCGCGTGGGTTCCGGTCCGGGCTCGGGCCCCCCAAATTATGAACCGGCCCGGTCAGTTCAGGCCTGGTTCCGGGCCTTTTTAATTTTTTTTTCAAATTTTTTTACTTTTCGGGTTGAACTGGATATTTTGGACCATTTGGGGTGGTTTGGGGGTGGGGGGGGTTGGGGGTTAACTAGGGAAAGGGAAAAAAAATTAACAAAGGCCCGAGGCCCGGCCCGGCCCGGCCCAGAACCGGGGATTACCCGGGCCAGTTCCGGGCCCCCCATTCCAGAACCGCCGGCCCAGCCGGGCCTAGGCCCGAACCGGCCCGAGTCCAGGCCTATTTTGGACCCATGAATCCTGGACCACAAACTGGATCGGCAATTTCAAGCCCGAGGACAATGTTTCAACAGGCCAGCCTAGCCAACGGGTCTAGCAAGTAAAGAGCTCAGAATCTCAGATTGGCCCAACCAAAAAAACCCAGCAAGCAAAGCAAGTCTAGCAACAATTATCCTGCCTGCTTGACTGACCCACCCACCCAACAGGGAGTCAGCCTACCAATCTAGCAAGGAGTTCTGGAGTTGACCTATCAGCCCAACAGGAAGCTGGCTTACCAGTCTAAGAGGGAGGCAACCTACCAAACAACAAGCCCATTAAGGAGGGATCTCAAGGAGGTTGACCTACCAAGTACCAACTAGGGTGACCTGTTAACTCGAAAGAGGAACAATCGAGACAATTAATGAAATAATTAATTCTGTAGTTAATATCATGTTAATGTCATAGTTAATGAGCCATTATGCTTTATAGTGATTACAACAATACAACATATAATGCCTATAAAAGGCCATAGAGGTTCAATGATAACAGAAGCTATTTTTTTAACACAAGCTCCTGGGACTTTCCAATTTTCATATACTTCGATTCCTACTTGACAGCCAACCAGGGTCCATTTTTGGACTAACACAAACATACATACATGCATACATACATACAAAAATAATTTTATATTGACGCTTGCATATCAATATCGTGTACTCCACAAGTTAAGTTCCACGGCAAAAAATGAAGTCATTAATGGGTGATAAATAATGAATGACTACTCAAACTCCTCCCAATCATGTATTACCACAGCAGATGAGGATGGCTGTGGAAAACTTGGAGGTGGAGGAGGATTGAGGCTGCCGACGACCAAATCAACAGTCTCCCATTCAGTTTTAGCGGGCACTGCTTTAGAGTTTAGAATCGTCACTGACGGGTGGAGGATTTGAGTTGTCATGAAAAGGATTCAAATTCTTTTCCTTCAGAACATCCATTTTGTCTACTAGGCTCTGGACCCTCCTCACCTGAAATAATGGCATTCTTATTCTAAAGCTTGCAGTAACTATATACCTGTGGACAGTCTATTCAGAATAATCACAACTTTATTCATGTGAGTTTCATCTGGGTTACTCTTCTACCAAGGACCACTTATGGGGTGTAGATATTCTAGAAGTGACTTAAGTGAATATATGATATGTGTTGCTTTATCTTCAGCAAATGCTAGGCTTTAAAAAGGGTTCAGGATTCTTTTTACATAGGATCCCTATACATTGCATATTTATGAATAATTTCAGAGCAACTCCACAGATAAACTACTCAGCAATTCAAGAACCCAATTCAAAAGTGTGAGGGACTCCACCAGATAAGGATATTTAATAATATCTCACTGCTAACTGTTTATATTCCCTCCATCCTAAAAAAGAGCCATGTCCCGAATAGTTGTTTTGTTCCCAAAAGAATCCTGTTTAAAAACGAAATTAATTATTTGGTGTGATCCCCCACCCAAAAAAAAGTAACTGCCATGTTATACTCCATATATAATAAATTTTGTTAAACCAGCAGGATTAATTAAAAAAAAGTTAGATTCATGATTAATGAAAGCTGTGGCTTACCAAATCTTAATCAAGGTACCTACGTCAAACAGTACTCCTTTTTTAGGACAGAGACCTTATTTTCTTTTATAATATCAAAATTGTTCTTATCGTTAATCAAATTTAAGATTTAATGGTATCTTAAAATTAAATTGAACATACAACCCCATGGTCACATGGTCCACTAACTAAAAGCAACTCTAAATAGTTATGATGAGTACTTGTATCTAAATTCAAAAAAAATGAGATTATCAATTTATCATGAATGCTTGAAATGAGATTAAACGCAAGCACTAAAAAGTAAAAAGCACAGATAGAATTGTCGGTTCTGATTTGTTTTGATGATGATGAAAGACATCCTGTGTTTATCAATAAATCATGTCAAACCACGTGAATACTACATGCCTACACTTTCCAATGCAAGGACCAAATCATACATGCCTTCAACTAAGAATCTTCCACAAATTAATTGAACCAAACCAGTTTCAACCTAAGTTTAGCCAACAAGGTGGGATTGGCATAAAAAAATGTACCTCCTCCCTTCTTTGCAACTTCCCTTCTCCTCCAGCCTCTATACTATCTAATTTCAATAACTGCCTCATCAGCATCTCAGTTAAAAAAACAATATCCTTCTCATCAACCCTGGTCCCACCATTAACAACTGCTTGTAAAGCATCCACCTTGAAGAATAAACACATTAGCATTAGGCCGTTCATGCCAAGATATTTATCGTGATGGTAATGATGGTGATGATGATGATGATGATGAAAACAATAATATGCTCTTAAATTAACAAAGATTCAACCTGATCCGAAAGCATGTCAACTTCTACTCTGACTGCAGTAACTGCTTCACCTCCTCTTGATATTTCACTATTTACCTTGACCTCTTCAGGCACTTTATCATCAGCTTCACTTCTTACCTCCACCTTTTCAGACTTTTTTTCATAACTTGATGTATCCTCCATAAGAACCAGTTTAGAATTGTCCTTCACGCCAGCCAAAAACAAATATTCTTGATCCTCTTTTTCTTTACCCCTGAACAAAAGTTTTTGGACTTTAGGCTCCAAACCAATTACTTGGGAAATATTATCTTTTACTTGACCTGAAATCAAAATCCAATCTAATTAGAATAGCCTTCATATACACCGTCCATCACTGTACAACAAAGTGAATAGATTATTTACCATATCACAAGATACTCCAGACATAGAAACCTTATATTTAAATACATCATAAGCTATCAATAAGTACTATCCTCATACCCCATCCTCTAAATTATAAGGCCCCTTTTGGTAGTCAATTCTGATTCATCTGCTTATCAGAACAATATGTAGCTTTTAACTTTTTTATTGAGCTGAATGGAGATTACCAAATATTTTTCTTTTCAAAAATATCAGTTTTAGCTAAAAAAGCCCTTACCAAATGTGCCATGCGGCCCATGCTTCCAACAATTCACTTAATCTACAATTCAATTCATTAGCATATGTCCGCGGTTTTAAAAAGAAAAACAAAAGTAGCAGATAAGTCATTAAAAAATGCAAATTGCAACATGTAATAGTTGAAATAACAAAAGAGATAAGCATTTCATACTTTATAGTATACAGAAGATATTGCTTTTCTAATGGACAGATTTAGTAGAGTTTATACACTAGCTTTCATACCCAATAAGAGCCCCAAAATATGTGGAACAAAAAAGGCAAATAGGGAAAAGGGGCTGAAGCAAAAAGAGAACATAACCTCATTTATAAGGGGCACTTCATCCTTGCACTCGTTTAGAATCGAAGATGGGAAAAAAATTGGTCAATCAAAACGAAAGAATTACTGCTCCAATGATGAGAGAGTTGTTAACTAGGTTTAAAAAGGCTAGTTTTGGTATCAAGACGGTTTGTTTAAAAGAGGCGAGACGTAAGCCTTGAGGCGTGGTGAGGCGTGGTGAGGCGTAAGCTTCCAAATTTACCAACAAGTAAAACTTAAAATAGTTAAACTAGTATTAACCAATTATAGAAATGCATAATAAAAATCCAAAAAGTCTCAAACACAAACACATATACGATCACATCATCAAAACGATAACTCAAAATGAAAATTCAAACATAAAACAGACGCATCACATAGATGACAATTTAAAACTCTCGAAGCTTAACCATCATGAATGGAGAGTCTACGGAAGAATCATTATATATTTGTATCATATAGCCTTCTCACTGTCATCACTTCTATCATCACTATCAAAATCCTTCAGTTCTTTCTCTTCTTCATCATCATTTACCACCATTACTTGTTGATTTTTTGTATTTTTCCTTGGTTATCCATCTGCTTCTTTGTGCAGAAGCATGAATAAGTTTTAACGACACGTAGAATGCTAAATAGGGAGTATATGTTGGGGTTTAAATGAAACAAGACTTGTTTAGGTTTAGTGTAAACATGTGCTTAGTGTATGAGCCTTTTCTTAAATAAAAACACTGCCTTTTAAGCTACAAGCACATTAAAAAGCAAAGGAAAAATGCCTCGAGGCGCGCCTCAGGGCGTACGCCTTGAATTTTGAGGAGTAAGCCTCTTTTCCCGCAAAACAAAACAAAAAAACTAAACCTCAAAATCGTTTTAGTTATATTACCAAATTTTTAAAAAACCGTTTTATTCACTCATTAGCTACGTGAAGTTTATAATGTACTCCCTCCGTCCCCCTAACTTTGTCCCGTTTTACGTTTTTCGTCCGTCCCATTAAGTTTTTCACGCACCATATTTGGTAATATTTGGGTGATTACAATTCATTTTTACTTTTTTTACACTTTATCAATTCAATACCAACCACACAATTCCACTTTTTCTTAAAAGTTGTGCCACACCCTCTTGTCCCAAACATAGTGAGATGGAGATAGTATTACATATTATCAGACCAATAATTATCTAGGTTTCATTTAAATTAACGTTTACCCCACCTACATATGAATTATTCAATTCATGTACTGTCTCAAAACAATTAGACCTTTTGATACAGTACATGGCTAAGTTTTGACCCCCGACACGTTTTTCTGGCTTTGCCACTGCGCACATCATATGATTTATATCCTAATTCCTAAGAATAAAAAATCAGAATTTAAAATATGTAAGGTGTAAATCAATATGAAACACTTTTATGATTCTCTATAGGGCTTGAGTGCTTGACTCCTCCAAAAAGGAACTTTTAACAAAATGAATAAAGCAGATTATGCACAACCGTACAATACGCACCTAGACAACGATAAAGCTTAAAATATAGCCTTATAGGTAAGAAATAGAGAACTTTAGGATTGATTAAGGACTTAGCTCCCACAAAAATGGAACTTTTCAACATAAAAAACAAGCAGATGATTCACAATTCTACACTATTCACCCAGCCATCTACCCCCACAGCAAAAGCAAAACCTAGAACTCAGCTAATTTGATGGCACTTCAGACATGGATAATGGACAGAATTAGAGGCAATTTCGGACTCGGAGTAAATAGGTCAGTATACACTAGGAGATTGTTTAGGACTCGGAGTATTTCGAGTTAAACAAGGACTTCTCCTGATATACATAAAAAATGTATGCTGCAAAAGTGTTTTTACAGAAACGGATGAGGTGAAATATACCAAAAGTGGAATCAGATGGCACTGTAAGGTCGAGTTGCTGGGCGCCATACGAGAGCTTAAGGGTAAGAGTGGTGTGAGTGGGCCCACTGTCTCCGTCGTCTCTCTTTTGAACGACCATACCACCTGGCCTCGTATCCAACGCGGTGGTTTCTCCACTGTCACTGCTCATCCCCGCCGGGTTTGAATAGTTAGCCATTCCCAAAATCAGAAGTAAAAGGCGGCAGAAGAATTACCGTTCATGGGCTGCAGTGGCTACAGTATACAGGGGGCGAGATGGCGTATTTTATGGATGTTAAAGGCCCAAGTGTGTTACGGGCTCCAGGCCTCTCACAGGCCCAATTTTGATTCTCGAAAATCGTTTTTCTTGATTTGATTTGGATCAGAATTTTAGAATTTAAGACTGTTATAAAAAAATGTGATTACGATTGAGTAAGAAAAAAATATATGAATGTGAATTACACAAAAAAATCCAAATTTGAAAATGAGAATTTTTTTAAAGCATTTAAAAAATAATCTCTAATTTCATAACTTATTACGGAGTATATAACTTTAATCTATATATAATATATAATAGGCTAAAGGGTCAAATAGGCCCCTGAACGTATTTCAATTGCTCAATTCGCACCCTGAACCCAAAAAACCCCCGATCCGGCCCACCAACCCCTATTTTTTGTTCAATCCCTACAATTACCCGGTTACCTCCCGTTTTCTCCCCTTAAATGCCCAGTCAGCAAGTTTTGCATCTGATATAATGCTGACTCATTAAATCGTCCCAGTCCAAGGTGTGTACGTGTAATAATAAAACCTATTTACGCTTTAGGAGAAATTAACCCTAATTTCAAAGTTTCAAGTGTCATACGCGAAGTAGTGATACTAGAGCTCGCAAAGGAGAAGAGGAAGAAGAGTTGTGTGTTGAAGGCGAAGCCCTGAATTGAAGGGTCTAAGGTAAACGCAGTCACTCAATATATTCATTTGTATTTACTATTGTCGAAGCCTTTATTTTTTAGTGTTGTACGCAGTGAGTGTAAAACCCATTGATGGTGAGTATTTTTTGTTGTATCAGAATGTGGGAAACATTGGACATCATTTTATATTATGGTGGCAACCTAGAGTCATGCTCGCCTATGGAGTATACCAATGGGCGTATAGAGGTCATCAAAAGTGACCCTGATGTTGTGAGTTATCCTCATCTAAAAAAGTTCATTGAATCAGAACCATTTGGGGGATTTGGCAAGCTTATGTATAAACTGCCTTGTGAACCGTTGGAGTCTTTTAGGGAGTTATGTGATGATGCTACCACATTGGACATGGTCAGGTTGTGTTCACGTGGAGTGTGTGAATTGTATTTGCTGAAACCTTGCAACTCTGTTGTACTTGATCATCAAGCAAGTTCAGCTGACTTCCAAGTTCATTATGATGGAGGGCTGCATGAAGTAGAAAGGCAAACAGGAGGTGATGAAGTTGTGAGGATCAAACAGTCAAAGAAGTTGAAACAAAGAAGAAAAAAAGATTCACACAATCACTCTGAGAGGGCTGCAACTGACATTGGTGTAAGCTCCATGGATGAAACTGAGATGGTTGGAACTGAGATGGCTGACACTCTTGACCTTTGTGATGTTGAAATTCAGACACTTGATGATGAAGAAGATTTGGAGAGCCAAGAAGACCCTCCAATCAGTAATGAAGATGTTTCTGATGATGACAATGGTTCTGACACTAAGCAGGTTTTGGGGGCTAGGCCACAAAAGAATAAGGACTTTGCACATGAGGATGAGGATTAGGACTATGAAGATAGCATGGAGTTGTACCCTTCTGATAACCCACCAAGTTATGTTTCAGAGGTCTCAGCAATGAATGAAGATGAAGTGGAGTCCAACCTTAAGGACTATCATCCTTCGTACAACCCACAGAGTGAACCTCCTGATATTGAGCCTGGGATGCTTTTTGAGGACAACATTCAATTTAAGAGTGCCCTCATTAGATATGTTGTGCACCACAAGAAGAATATATTCTTCAAGAGGAATGAATCAATGAGAGTTCGGGCACAATGCATTCAAGATAGTTGTCCATTTCCCTGTTATGCAAGCTGGGAAGACAGGTTCAAGTGCTTCCAAGTTAAAAGCATGAACACCAAACACTTATGTAACCCAAAGTTCAAGTTGAGAGTTGTGTCTCAAAAATGGATAGAAGAGAAATATGAGGACAAGGTTAGAGATGACCCCTGTATTGGCTATGTGGCTTTAAAGGAGCACATAGAGACTGAAGTGGGGATTCAGTTTAACAGAATTAGAGATTACACTCAAGAGTTGCTGGATTCTATTCCCAACAGTACCATCAAGATCATGACCTCCAGAGTAGTTGATGATGGGCCATGCCTCTTCCAGAGATTTTATTGCTGCTTTGGTCCAATGAAAAAGGGATTCTTAGAGGCCTGCAGAAAGATAATTCGGTTAGATGGATGTTTCTTGAAGGGCTTATTGAAGGGAGAAATACTGACAGGAGTTGGTAGGGATGCAAACAACAACATGTACCCTATCGCATGAGCAATTGTTGAGATTGAAAAAACTTCATCTAAGTCATGGTTTTTAGAGCTAAAAACGTTCAGGGGCCTATGAAGATCAAGCTGAAGATATGGTTTAATGGTTCCACATGTATTGATATAATTGGGTGGATGTAATATTTAGGCTATTTCTGAAACTACTTTTTGGCCCAATATGCTGTTTAAAACTGTATTACTGCAGCTATTGTTTAAAATTGGGTGGATGTAATATTTAGCCTATTTCTGAAACTACTTTTTTTGCTTGTCAAACTTGTTATGTATTGGAATATTTAATGTGGTTGTTGACTTGTTATATTTCGGATGTTGTGCACTTATGTACTTCTGAGTTAGTACATGTGAAGGTGGGGTCTTCAAATTTGCATTATTGTTATTTGGTTGGGTGTCCATTATTCAAACCGAATGGAACATGGTGGGGTGGGGTAAATTCCTTGCTGCAGGTCACACTTTACTCACATGGGTTTGCCTTTTATCACATGGGTGATGGCCTGATGGGTATGCTTTACAGGCAGTTGATTAGACTGCATTATTGAACTCCTTTTGCAGATGGTTTTATCACTTTTTTATGGAAATGGGTCAATGTGATGGGTATTTGATGGCTTATCCGGATCAGGGCCATCTGTGTGTATGGATTTTTTTTTTTTGCATCTTTTTCCTGTGTCTTAATGATTAGTGTTTGACAAATTTGATCAAATGGTTGTTTCTCATTTAAACAATGATTACAATTAATATGAATCACAACACATATATAATGCAGGTCACAACAGATGTGTTGTAGAAATGTCCAAAACAAAGCTCCATTAATTGACTCCAAAACAAAGCTCCATTAATTGACTCCATTGTTAAAGTAGTCCACAAGTACATTGAACACCAAAACATAGCCCCAAAAGTACTACAATAATAGCCCCAAAACTTAAAAACCCACTACACTATTACAATTTCTTAAGAATAAGAGCTGCAACAACAAACATCACAACCCCTTGAAACATTCTCTTCCAAAATAACTTCTCTTTAGCTTCACTTTCAAGAATCAGTTTGATAGTTTGTATGTCACGTTGCATCACTAACATCAACCTTTTGAGGTCATGATTTGAGGCAGGCGCCCCCATGTATGATTTTTTCTCTTCATGCAAACATGCTAGATCCTCTTTCAATACAAAATATCTGCAGCCTAAACCGTCCTACAATCACCGGAAATTATGAGACCGCCTAGGGTCAATGTTAGTCTCCCCAGTCCTTTTAAAAAATAGCTGCGTTTCTTTTACTTTTGTACCGCCCCTGATGAGGACGACTCTTATAGCTGCGTTTCTTTACTGCCAGACCTAATACAACATTCTTTTTGATGCAACATCGGCCAGGTGATGGTCCTCTTCTCTTCCATTTTTGATTCCCTTCTCTCTTGAGTATTGAATATCCTCTGCACTCTCCGGTGTCCAACAACACTCTCCACTGTCCAGCAATCCAGACTGTCCAGGTAAGGATATTTTCATTGTATCATTATAGTTACTTCACTTGTTATTAAGATATTTTGAGAATATCCCGAATTTTTAGACACATGCTTAAGAGACAATTTGTATGTAGATTGAGTAATTTATTGCCTAATATTGATAGAAATTTGGAATGCAACTACGGTGTTTGATGTAATTCTTCAAAGAAGAAATGAAAACTTTAACTAGTAATTTATTTCCACTACTTTGTTTTTCAGTTGTGGTATTCACTTATTCACCAGTCTTTTTGGTTTGTTTTTAGCAATTTGAATTTCCACTGGGAAGTCCTAGCCAATCAATTTGTATTGGTATCATTAGCATTGGTACCCCAAAGAAAAAGACGTTTTCTTATTCTGGTATTCAAAACATGTCATATGCTTTCTCTGAGTATGCTATATTAATATCTTGTATTCTTGAGGCTTGAAATTGTGCAGACATTCTTTGTTTCATTTAACCCAAACGTGGAGATTACCTTGGTTCATTTTTGAATTTTACCTCAGAAAGAAAAAAGAGCATGCTGGTTAGAGTTGCTTTCCTTGTTGCTTTAGGATTTTGAGTTTTGAGATTTTGAAAATTGGGCTTCACTTCTTCGAATTTGCTTTAGGATTTTGAGATTTTCTGATACAGAACAAAGTGTGTAGAGATCTGGCCAAGGGACTGCCTAAGTACCACTAATTGCTTTTTTGCACTGAATAAGAAAACCCTGTAGAGACCAAATAATTTCTAAGATATCTGTTTTTGGCTTGCACATGAATTCTTGTTCGTTTTTTCTATGAAATTCACCAAGAATTTTGTAGTGTGCGAAGTATTTCACAGTTCTAGTTTTTCATTGTGTTCCTTAAAGTTTCAGCACCGGCAAGCCTTTTAATTTTTTATATGGTTACCATTTAGCAATGTTTAATGACAGTAAGAGTTGATATTTGATATTTTGATTCCCATGTAATGTTGTCTGTGAGGTGTTGACAGGGTGATGAAACTAGTTAAATCAATACTAAGAAGAGCTTTTTTTGTTTTTATATCATTACATTAACACCATGATTTATTAAAAATTGACAAAAGGGTTTAAAATTAATGCCATAAAAATGATTTCTACATCCCCCTGATTTTGTTTATAAATGATCCAAATGCCATAGTGTTGCTTGGGAGTTGACACAAAACCATTATACTTCGTACTATTTAGCCTATA